CACGAAAGGAATTGAGTCTTTGCAACAAATCCCAATTTTTTAATACCTATATATCAACAACCAAATTATGTAAACCTTTGATATTTCAAACTTTGATTGTGTGAAATAACAGAAGTCATAGTTTGAAATATCTAAGGTTTACACCATTGGGTTGTTAAGATATAGGGATTTAAAAATCAGAATTTGTGGCAAAGACTCAATTCTTTTTTGGTTGTTTTTGTTTTACAATGTGTGCAAAGAGAAAATGTTCTCAATTGAAATATGAAGATAGGCGCGAAGTGCCTTGTAAGCCTAGAATATATAGAATTTATATTTAAATATATATAAAATTATTTATACTCGGCTATCAGGGCGCTTCGCACTTATCTTCTATTTTAACTTTTAATTAAGCTTTTAGCATTGTCTCCTCATTAAAACAAAGATATAAATTTTTGCGAATCAAGAACTTTTTTAGTGGATTTTCAAAATTTTACGAAAATCAAAAATTTTTTTAATTTATTTTGTAATTCTGAGCATCCATAAATCTTCTTTGGGGTCATGTGAGGTCCCACACAAAATTTGGGCCCGATCGGACAGACAAACAGAAAAGCAAAGTATATTTATAGATATATTTGAATAACTCATAGCAACAAATAACAATAAAAAGATACTTTTGAAATAATTTTAAAGTTTTCTTCAACTCTTCTAATCCTCTTTCCAATTGAATCCTACTTCACCTTCCATATGTTATTCATGAGATTTCGATAATCCAACTTTTACAGGATTTACAAGAAACTGAACCTCAGTATTTCCATTCTTGTAATATTAGAATACAGCTTAAAGAGACTGTAGACTGTAGACCTTACTTCAAGTGACCCTCAATCAGGGGCCTATTTAAGAATTTGTCCAAGGGGGGGGGCTTAAATTTTTTTCTCTTTCCAGGGGGGGGGGGGCTGAGCACCCGTTGGGGCCTGAAAACCCCCCTAAAATCAATAGATTTCACTGGTCCAGGCGGGGCTTAGCCCCCATAGCCCCCCTTATTTGCGGGCTCCGCATTTCATACAACATGGCGATATTCTATCCAATTTGTCTAAAAAGGAATAGTTTGGACAGAAAATAAAATCACAAGTAGAACAATTATAATTAGAATTTAGAATCTCTGAAAGAAATTGTTAATCCTCATAATCTCATCATGTCAGTCTGAAGTTAAAGTTTCTCCATAATTATTAAAAACTAGCTGAAGTGTCCGGCGTCGCCCGTGGAATTATTTCTAAATACGTTTTTTAGAATTCAGCCAATTGCTAGCTATTTATAGCTGGCTAAACTAGCTTAATTTCTTTGAGGGAACGCTGGTGATAAAATAAGCAATAAAAAATTCAAATTTATTTTTTATAATTCATTTATTTTTTCAAAAATCGAATTTTAGAATAAAATTTTTTTAATTGCTTTTTAACTTCCAAACTTAGTACTTAATATTTAAAACATAAATAAAATTAATAAAAATTTAAGTTAATAATTCCGACTTGTTAACCATCTCGCTTTAGCCTTTTAACACAAAAATTCTTGGGCTTTTACTAATACAATTTTAGTAAATATGTAAGGGTTTAATTAAAAAAAGTTTTAAGATGAAAAATGTTCTTGATATATTTTTATATATGATGGATGGGAAAATGTTTATATATTTTGTGGTGTGAGAATAGGGATTCAGGATATTAACACTTTCGGTAGAGATACCTGCAATTCCATCCATCCTAATCTAGACTAGAGATACCAATTCCATTCATTCTAGCCAGACTAAAGATACCAATTCCATATATCCTAACCTTATGAACTAAAGACAATAGAGATACCAATCCCGTCCATCCTAATATAGACTAAAGATACCAATGCCATCCATCCTAACTTAGACAATAGAGATACCAATTTCATCTATCCTAACATAGACTAAAGATACCAATTCTATTGATCTAAACTTAGACAATAGAGATACCAATCCCATCCATCCTAACCTAGACTAAACATACCAATCCCATCCATCCTAACCTAGACTAAGATACCAATCCCATCCATCCTAACCTACACTGATTTAAATTTAGTTACGCATCGTAGTGCCAGTGCCATGGGAGCGAATGTATACTGATTGGAACTATTATAGTATGTACCATTCCCATTCATAGTACCGAATGGTACTATTCATGATCCTACCAGAGCTACAAGCTATAGCACCAATACTACTCAGCATAGTAATATTGCGATGTACCATCTGATTAGAACTATACTCTGTCGAAAATTTGTTATGTCGCAATGGACCATTCGTTTATCTCACAATTTTATCATATTCATTAATCTTAATTTGGCAACAATTTAGCATGACTTCAATGACTGAACAAGTACGTGTCAGAGATATGTTTGCTCCTATTATAATTTTTATTTTTTTTATTTTGTATTTTTAATAGATAAAATTGATAATATTATTACATATAGTCCATATAACGTCACCAGAACTTCAGCCAATGGCAGTGCAGTGTACTGGTCACGTAATTTCCGTCTGTATTACTTGACCATGATACTTCACTGTAATGATAAGTTCTGGTGACGTAATACAGACCATACTGACTAGATTTAATCATATTTTTAATTACATCTATTAAAAATGCAAAAAAAATGATAATAGAACCAAACCTGAGATTCTCAGGCTCCTTGGGATATCATCGTTTTCAGATTGGTTGCGTTTTTTTTAATATGATCAGTTTAAACCTACAACTTTTATACAACATTGCATATATATGAATTTTCGTGGAAATTTGACATAGTTTTCCTTGAAAGGAATAATTCATTGCATTACATTTTGGGTTGATCCACTTGTCTATTCCTTTCATGATGAAATTTATTGAAAATGGATTTTTATCAGTGTAGACATATAAAGATACCAAATTTTTTCATTAAAATTTGTTAAATTATATATGTTTGTAAAAATAAAATAAAGTTGTTATTTTTCACTGGAGACACAAACAAACGTATTTTGTAGATGGTTAATAAATAAAAAATAAGTTTGCAAGAATTTTCACAATTATTAGATAGTTTTTTATTTATTTTTTATTCTGGCGAGCCTAGCCTATGGATATTTCCTTGTTTCCCGCAGTGCAGGGGTGCAGTTCTGAAAAATCAAAATGTTTATATTATTATTTTTCCATGTGCAATTATGCATGTGGAAAATAGTTCAAGGGTGTAAAAAAAACAATGATGACATAAACAGAACATCTTTATTTAGTTTCAATGTTTAAAGTAATTATTTATACATAGATTTTTTTATGTTCAATTCTTCTGTTTTGAGTTGTTTGTGCTGTTTGCTTTAATTAGGAAATAATTAAATTATATTATTACATTTCAAATTTAGTCATTTTTACCTCGGGATTTTCTGACTATTTTATAATTTAAAACAAATCCAGGTCATATATTCCATTTGAAAATAAAATGTTGTTTTTGATTTTTTATAAATGAAGAATGAAGAAACAAATTTTTTTCTTTTTGAGTTTTGGAGGGCAGAAATAATTATTTGGATTTCCTTCCTTCGAAAAAATGTTAAAACATGATCTTCGCTATCTCCGTAGCGTTTTCATTGTTTGGAAATAGGAAAAAATAGAAATATGTGAACTATGAAAAATTTCAATTTTTGTAAAACGAATTTAGCCCCCTTTTCAAAACAAACTTGCCAAGTCAACCTGAATCTAAATTTTCCAAAAGAATTCAAAATTTTTTTTTAAAGCATTCTATAGAACATCTTGTGAATGAGTTCTAGTATGATTAATCATGGATCGTTGACAACCTTATACTTTTCCCTTCTCAACTATATTAAACAGTATATATCTAAAACAGTTAACTCTTTTTGCACCTTTTACTTTTTTCAAGTCTATTTTTGTAAAAGCTGGACAACTTTAGAGGACTCAGAAACCTTAGACATCTTGAAACCAAAACTAAAAAGGTATTTTCTTAAAATACCAAGAGGTGTTCCTCGTGACCGTCCATTTGATGTATCTCCGTTCTCTCCGCTCAGAGTTTTCTCCGTCTGTACACAGATCCGTGTTTCATATAGTTAGTCTCCGACACTCAATCTTATAGATTCTCTTTAGTTAGTCTCCTATACTATACTCAATCTTATAGATTCAATTTAGTTAGTCTCCGACACTCAATCTTATATATTCTCATAGTTAGTCTCCTATACTATATTCAGTCTCATATATTCTCTTTAGTTAGTCTCCTATACTATACTCAATCTTATATATTCTCTTTAGTTAGTCTACGACACTCAATCTTATAGATTCTCATAGTTAGTCTCCTATACTATATTCAAACTTATAGATTCTCATAGTTAGTCTCCTATACTATACACTCAATCTTATAGATTCTCATAGTTAGTCTCCTATACTATATTCAAACTTATAGATTCTCATAGTTAGTCTCCTATACTATATTCAAACTTATAGATTCTCATAGTTAGTCTCCTATACTATACTCAATCTTATAGATTCAATTTAGTTAGTCTCCGATACTCAATCTTATAGATTCTTTTAAGTTAGTCTTCTCTATTTTAATTAGACTTCTCTATTTTGTCTCCGAGACTAATCCTATCGACTTCTCTAGTTAGTCTCCTATATTCAATTCTATAGTCTTCTCTAGTTAGTCTCCTATATTCAATCCTATAGATTCTCTCTAGTTAGTCTCCTATATTCAATCCATAGATTCTCTATAGTTAGTCTCCTATATTCAATCCAATAGATTCTCTCTAGTTATATTCAATCCATAGATTCTCTATAGTTAGTCTCCTATATTCAATCCAATAGATTCTCTCTAGTTAGTCTCCTATATTCAATCCATAGATTCTCCATAGTTAGTCTCCTATATTCAATCCTATAGATTCTCAATAAATAGTCTCCGACTCTCAAACCTGTAGATTCTCTTTAGTTACTTTCTATACTCAATCATCTGAATTATCTAAAGTTCCTTGCTGAAAGACCGAATCTGTGAGCAATTAAAATTTTAGTTTCAGATTCCTAATGATGAACTACAGCGGAGAAGCAAACTGCTTTTCAAGCTGTATCTCTATTCTTCCTGCATCCATGTTTTATCAGTTCCAGGAAACCTCTCCCGAATCCTTCTCTTTACCCAGTCTTGATCTTAAACCTATCTCTGTACACAACCTGGAGCATCCACCTGAACCTATTTATCCTCCTCAACCCTCTACTGATCCTAGAGCCAGGTTGCAGGAACCAAGGAGTAGAATGAATAGATATAAACGTAAAATGTCAAGTTATGCTCCGGTCCCAACTGCAACTGACCAGGTTGATAAATCTGTCTCCTCTGTCTCCAGTTCTTCTGATGACCAGGAGAGATTGACCGAACCCTGCAATACTGGAGATGATAAACAGAAAAAAAATACAAAACAGGTAGATTTTGGAATCTTAGACCAGGAGAAAGTTTTAAAACCTCCTAGTCGAAAACAAGGGGGTTACGACCTAAAATCTGGGGGATCTTACAAAGCATTTGGTTCTAGAGGGATTATTATGGTGTGTTGGAACACGGCCAGAGGTCAGACCGAGTTCAAAGTATTTGATAGGTGAACTAGGAACTGGTACTTAAACTACTGTCAGACTGAGTTCAAAGTATTTGGTAGGTGAACTAGGAACTGGTAGTTAAACTACTGTCAGACTGAGTTCAAAGTATTTGGTAGGTGAACTAGGAACTGGTAGTTAAACT